TTTCGGTCCCCGTGTTCCGAGGCCATATCTGTATATGCTAGGCTCGTCAAGTATAACCTGAGTATTCCGCGTGTGCAACTGTTTTGCACCCGTTGTATTTGAACGTAGAGCCTATCACACCCGATCATCACGTGGTGTCTCAGCACGAAGAACTTTTGCAACGGTGCATACTCAGGGAGAACACTTCTTGATAATTAGTGAGAGATCATCTTAAAATGCTACCGTCAAACAAAGCAAGATAAGATGCAAAAAGGATAAACATCACATGCAATCAATATAAGTGATATGATATGGCCATCATCATCTTGTGCTTGTGATCTCCATCTTCGAAGCACCGTCGTGATCACCATCGTCACCGGCGCGACACCTTGATCTCCATCGTAGCATCGTTGTCGTTACGCCATCTATTGCTTCTACGACTATCGCTACCGCTTAGAGATAAAGTAAAGCAATTACAGGGCGTTTGCATTTCGTACAATAAAGCGACAACCATATGGCTCCTGCCAGTTGCCGATAACTTCGGTTACAAAACATGATCATCTCATACAATAAAATATAGCATCATGTCTTGGCCATATCACATCACAACATGCCCTGCAAAAACAAGTTAGACGTCCTCTACTTTGTTGTTGCAAATTTTACGTGGCTGCTACGGGCTTAAGCAAGAACCAATCTCACCTACGCATCAAAACCACAACGATAGTTTGTCAAATAGACTCCATTTTAACCTTCACAAGGACCGGGCGTAGCCACACTCGGTTCAACTAAAGTGAGAGAGACAGACACCCGCCAGCCACCTTTAAGCACGAGTGCTCGTAACGGTGAAACCAGTCTCGCGTAAGCGTACGCGTAATGTCGGTCCGGGCCGCTTCATCTCACAATACCGCTGAACCAAAGTATGACATGCTGGTAGGCAGTATGACTTATATCGTCCACAACTCACTTGTGTTCTACTCGTGCATATAACATCAACGCATAAAACCTAGGCTCGGATGCCACTGTTGGGGAACGTAGTAATTTCAAAAAAATTCCTACGCACATGCAAGATCATGGTGATGATATAGCAACGAGGGGAGAGTGTTGTCTACGTACCCTCGTAGACCGAAGCGGAAGCGTTGACGCAACGTAGAGGAAGTAGTCATACGTCCTCCGGTTCAACCGATCCAAGTACTGTTACTCCGGCACCTCCGAGTTCTTGACACGCGTACAGCTCGATGACGCACCCTCGATCTCCGATCCAGCAGAGGCGCCGAGGGGGAGTTCCGTCAGCACGACGGCGTGGTGACGATCTTGATGTTCTCCTGTTGCAGGGCTTCGCCTAAGCACCGCTACAATATGACCGAGGTGTAATATCGTGGAGGGGGGCACCGCACACGGCTAAGGAACGATCAATGATCAACTTGTGTGTTCTAGGGTGCCCCCCTACCCCCGTATATAAAGGAGGGAGGGAGGAGGTGGGAGGCCCTAGGGGGGGCGCGCCATGAGGAGGGGGAAACCTACTCCAAGTAGGTTTCCCTCTCTTTTCCTTATCTTATTTGGAGGGGGAAGGAAAGAGTACTAGTATTAGGAAGTAGTACTAGTAGTAGTAATAGGAAGAGGGGGGAGGAGAAAGGAAAGGGGGGGCCGGCCCCCCTCCCCAATTCTGATTGGGCTTGGGGGGGCGCGCCCCCCTCCCTTGCTCCTTCTCTCTTCTTCCTACATGGGCCCAATAAGGCCCATATACCTCCCGGGGGGTTCCGGTAACCTCCCGGGGCTCCAAACTTCTTCGGAACCTTTCCGGTGTCCAAATATATCCGTCCAATATATCAATCTTTATGTCTCGACCATTTCGAGACTCCTCGTCATGTCCGCAATCATATCCGGGACTCCGAACAACCTTCGGTACATCAAAATACATAAACTCATAATATAACTGTCATCGAAACCTTAAGCGTGCGGACCCTATGGTACGAGAACGATGTAGACATGACTGAGACACATCTCTGGTCAATAACCAATAGCGGGACCTGGATGCCCATATTGGTTCCTACATATTCTACAAAGATCTTTATCGGTCAAACCGCATAACAACATACGTTGTTCCCTTTGTCATCGGTATGTTACTTGTCCGAGATTCGATCGTCGGTATCCAATACCTAGTTCAATCTCGTTATCGACAAGTCTCTTTACTCGTTCTGTAATACTTCATCTTATAACTAACTCATTAGTTACATGCTTGCAAGGCTTAGGTGATGAGCATTGCCGAGAGGGCCCAGAGATACCTCTCCGACAATCGGAGTGACAAAACCTAATCTCGAATTATGCTAACTCAACATGTACCTTCGGAGACACCTGTAGTACTCCTTTATAATCACCCAGTTACGTTGTGACGTTTGGTAGTACCCAAAGTGTTCCTCCGGTAAACGGGAGTTACACAATTCTCATAGTTACAGGAACATGTATAAGTCATGAAGGAAGCAATAGCAGAATACTAAACGATCAAGTGCTAAGCTAACGGGATGGGTCATGTCAATCACCTCATTCTCCTAATGATGTGATCCCATTAATCAAATGACAACACATGTCAATGGTTAGGAAACATAACCATCTTTGATTAATGAGCTAGTCAAGTAGAGGCATACTAGTGACTATATGTTTGTCTATGTATTCACACATGTATCATGTTTCCGGTTAATACAATTCTAGCATGAATAATAAACATTTATCATGAAATGAGGAAATAAATAATAACTTTATTATTGCCTCTAGGGCATATTTCCTTCAGAAGGACTTGAAGGCGTCGGGGGAGAGTGTCCGGAGGAAGTCGAGGAGCTGCGGCGTGACGCCGAGCTCCTCCGCGTCCTCCTCCTTCCCCTCCGCGGCGGAGGGTTTGCTTGGGCCGGTTCCGCCGCTGCCGCTGCCGCCGGCTTGGTGGCGGAACGGCCATGGGAACGAGGAGAAGGCCATCGGCGGGTAGGTGGGCTGGGACGGGATGCGGGGCGACGGCGATATGATGGATACGAGATTCGTCGGCGAGCTTGATAGAGGCAAAGGTGTCCCGATGTTTCGATGATATGGTGGCTATCGTTTTCTGTGGGAGTCGACCTTGACGATCCGACTACGAATGTGCGAGACGTCGCGCCTTAGCAATCGCTAAACCAACTTCCGAGGGTTATTGACCACGCCGGAGCACGATCAACCTGACCACGAGGGTCTGTTTCCTGCGAGCAAACGAAGAACAAGCAAGAAACTGAGATTGCAATCTGGATATTGCGAATATAAGATGAAAGCTTTATTGATCAAGGTGGGGTTCTGTGACGTCTTGGTCTGGTCGTTGGACACAAACGAAGTACGCGAAGTTGCAGCTATGGCGAACTTTTAATCTAAACAAAACCCAAAGCCTAAACGATGCCCTAAAGGCTGTATATATGGAGGAGAGAGGGGGAATTTCGTGGCCCTTGGTGGAGGGGTCCGAAACCAACCCTAACTCTTGTTTCCCCACACATACAGACTCTAAAAAGAGCCTATACTTAAGTACTTCGAAAATACATGGGCCTGGCCCAATAATAAGGTGACGCAGCACCTAAAATAGCCTCTGGACGAAATTTATGAAGTGGCATCTTGTATATTTCGTCCCATGCTTCATGCACTCATTATGGTGGCTTCAGAGTCCTGGAATCATCACTTGTAACTCCGTTCTTGTTCCCCTTGCGCATGCCATCATCTCCATGCTTGAACTTGCTCCAAGGTTCATCTTTCTTGTCCAAGCTAGGCCCTTCATTTGTAAGCAAAACAAATGTATCCAATTTAGGCAGCATCATATTCTCATGAACATTAGAATCGTTACCAAGAAACGAAAGTACCTGATAATTCAATTGGCGTGCGCGAGCTCTAGTAATCGGTCCAGTGTGTATAGCAGCAGGGGCTGTGGGTGTAATAATGGTATTGATGTCCTCATCAGAGCTCGCTGGACTGGGGGGGAGGGGAGGGCAGCGGCGCGAGACGGGGAGCGGCGGCCACGCGGCCGCCGGCGTGGCACACACAGCGGGGGATGGAGGCGGAGGGGATCTGGATCGGGCGTTGGTGGATTTTTTTTAGACAGACATGGGTTGAGTGGTGTGGGACGGTTGCGGGTGGGAGTGTATCCAGCGGGGGTGGGTGGCGTGGGAGACTAGTAGTAGCGCGGGTGTCTGACCTGCGCTATGGCTATCCACGTAGTAGTAGCGTAGGTTTTACAACCCGCGCTACTACTACGGTTGGTCCTGGGAGGCACGGTGAAAATAACTTAGTAGTAGCGAGGGGTAAAAACCCACACTACTACTATCAGGTTATTAGTAGCGCGGTTTTTTCAAGCTCGCTACTGCTAATTAGTAGTAGCGTTTGTTTTTAAACCGCGCTGCTGCTAAGATTTTGTGTATAAGGTTTTCCCTAGTAGTGGATTGCCAGAACTGGGACCCACCAGATCGTTGACAGAAAGCCAGAGGTTGGCCACGTAGGTACTTATTCCTAATGATGTCCAACCATAACCCGACGTGACCCTGCGAGATGCGTCATAACCATCGGGAAAGAAGGACGATATTCATGCATTTCGAGCACATGATACCGAGGCCACCTTGCTCTCGGGGCTTGCAAATGTCGGGCCAACTAACCGGGCAAATGCACGAAGATTATACGAGACGTGTGGATTGTACTGAGAAGCCTAATGACCTATTTCATCTTTTCAGATGCATTGGGAAGACCAACAAGTTGCATACATCCATGCACCTTAGAAAATTGGAACACGCGCATGGAAAAATAAACAACGGAATTAAGAAATCATATGGGCATCAATGTTGACAGAGCTTATCCCGTAGACTGAAAAATAGCATATGGAACAAATGATGTAAACGATAATTGTAAGCGAGAGATATTCCCATGCCAATTAATCCATGGGCATGGCGTGCGCCGTCGATTGCGGAAGGGTTTCATATGGATATATTCATTGTACGTTGTGATGCTGGAGTATATGTACTTGTGCTTCATTAGTGAGCTCGGCTTTTTATGATGTCGAGGCTCATTTCACTGGGGTCGGTCGCTTGGATCTCGCACTGGATGCCGTCCATCTCCCTCCTGAACCTGTCCTTGGAGCTCGCATAAAGCATCTTGCTCCTTGTTCTTGCCGTGTCAGGAGACCTATATTATTGAAGTAAGGAAACACTCCATCATTTTAAGTGAAGACATCTATGTCTGTCCATAAATGTTATGCATATGGGGAAATTAATTAATACTCCCCCATCCCATAATACAATGTGATATTATACGAAAATATCAAATGAAGACCGAGCTTCATGTAGGCCTTAATTTGAAAACTTTAAAAGTCAAAAATTTCAGTTTCCGAAAATTCCAGAGAAAATACACATATAACTAGAAATTTACATGCGTGTAAATTTTCGGGATGAAATACGTTAAAATGAGAGCTACAAAAAATAAACAAATATGAGGCTTTTTAGCATATGTATTGTTTCATGCTTACAGTCCTTGAGTTTTTTGTGTGGCTCGCAATTCAAGATATTTCATCCTGAAATTTTACACGCACATTACATCGTTGTATACATGTGTATTTTTTTTTGAAATATTTAGAAACTGGAAAGTTTAAATTTTGAAATTTTCAATATTAAGGGGCTTTATGGAGTCGGTCTCCAAATTGTCCCACTCTTATTATAATTGATATATGAGTAAAATGGTACTGAAACTAGTTATCCATAAGGTATATGGATGTATATATTCGAGTATCCAGAAGTAATCCAGTCAATTATGATTATTATAGTGCACCACAATGTCATAAGCTGTAGGAGGATCAAAACAGTGCTTCCAAAGGTGTCGAATGAACACACACCACAAATCTATAACTTTTCGACCAAAATCAGGCAAAACCATTTCTCAGTTGGTGCCAACGAACCTTCAATCAACATTCACATATAACCCTATATTTTTTTTCTCAAAACTATAAATTTTAAAAGGCATTTATGTGCGTGCTCAAACTACCGTTACCAGAGTATTCTGGAATGTGTAATAGTATCTCTAGCAGCCCTTCCTCTCCCCCACCACACCCCAAATATGACTAGTATATCTATCTATATAACTTTTTTTCGATAAGGAGGAATACCTCCAGCCTCTGCATCGACCCAGGGCCAGCCCTGAGGGGGGGCGGGGGCGGCCGCCCCGGGCCCCCGAGATCTAGGGGCCCCCTCCCAGGTGTAGTGTACGTGTAAAGGTAAGTAGCCCATTGGGCCATAGCTTCACGTAGAAAAAAAGGAAGCAGCCCAGGTCCAGAAAGGAAGGGATGGCAGTACGCAAGTAAATCAGTGTACGATTGTGAGGAAACAAATCAGTCGTAACACACGTAAATCACGTCCTTCCGTTCTGTTTATTCCATACTACCGTGAGACAATCTCCCTCCAAAATAAAAACAATCGTGTGACGTGATTTATTCTGTAATTTCCTATATTCTCTGTTCTCCGCAGGCTCCAAACCCTAGTTCCCAAGTCGCGGAGCCTATTGAAAATAAGCATTGGAGGGCTGATTGGTATCGATGCGCTGTACACGATGACGACGCAGCATGAACATCGCCTAGCCCTGAAAATTGGCAGTGCCGGAGTGGGGCGCACATGTACATCGCCGAGTGTGTGCCACCAAAAATTCACATCACAACATCGCCGAGCGTCCAATGATTGATGCCGATCTAATCAATTTGAGGTACTGTATGTCATATTACTATTCCCTACTCCCCGCAAAGAAAAATTCACTATTCCCTACAATTTCAAGTAAACCTTTATGCTTTGAGGAAGAAACAATTTGATAAAAGTAGTTGCCAAAATAAAATTCTTGAAGCTGAGAAGGACTTTCATGTTAAATATTTGTTTGCTTTGCTTGATATGAACCACTTCACTGAACTAAAGGATTTAAGGAAGCCACGGTGTTTAAAGATTTATTCGGATTACTGTGCATGTGATTGTTCCATCTTAGATAAAAAAAGCTTTTAAATTTTGAAATTATTATTGAACCATTTGGAATAAACAATGCATGAAAGAGCTTAAATGGTTAGACAACATTATGCATCAAGAAGTGGATGACATTGACTTCGACATCGACACAATCATAAGTCACTTTACATTGAAGAATCTTACAAGAAAATTTGAAGATAATATGCATTTGATGTTTATATTAAGGGCCCCAAATTTTATGTTCGCCCCGGGCCCCCAAAATCTTAGGACCGGCCCTGCATCGACCGATGCACACAACCATTATATTATATTATTCCACATAGCCAAACAGACCAAATACATCGATCAAACCAAAGCCACCATCCTGATCACTAGTCCCGCCATTCCTAGAAGACTGATGGCGTGCCCTGACCGCGTATCAATACATAACATCTATTCTAATGGCCTCATGAAGTTGCTCGCTAGCAAGCCTAGAGCACCAACCGGTCTAACTAGACCCTCTGCGCTCACTGGATGCGCATGTTCTAGGATCAGCTGTCCCATCTTTAGTAGTGATCAATTCATTCATCTCGCTAGGCCATACTACTGTCGATGTCATCACGACGCCAGACAGTGCCACCATCCTGCATGCGTCCATCCACATGCCCCCACCACTGAAACTCTATTGCGTCATGCCGCCGAGACCAGTCGTCGATGATGCGGTAGAAACCACGCTGCTCCGCCACATGTGCACTCTAGTCGGCACCTGCTCCAAAATGATGCCTCCAGCATGGAGAGCGGCGCGAGACGTCGCCATTGTCCGATCCGGGAACGGATCTAGGGTTTCCTCGTAGCAGGCCGAAAGAAGAGACACGACATGCTATGACGATGCCTTCAATAAGATAACAACGCTACGAGACGCCTCCATTACCATAGTCGAGGCTCGGTCTTCACCGATTATCTTGTCACAGATCCGAGGACAGATCCGTCACCACCTCCTGGTCGGCCGCCACCACCACGCAAGTGCACAACATGGGTGACCGCCGCCTCTGCACCGCAATCCTGGCCGAACTTGACCAGGAAGCCCGACCCAGGGCCATAGAACGGGGAAGGGATCCCCAGATCCAGGCAACTAAGCCAAGGCCTCCGAGCTAGGACAACGCACAGGCCGCAACCGACGTCACGCATCACGATCCGGAGCATCGCCAGGCCCATCCGGCAGCGGTGGCCGTTGCCGCCCGCAGCTCCAAACTGCCGCGCCGAGTGCCTGCGCCACCACTGAGCAAGGTACCCCGCAGCTACCTTCCTCGGGGCCAGCCCTACCTTTGCCAGGGAGACCTCTCTGGCGGCGACGAGACTAGGAGGGGAGGGGGTGGAACCACGGCGGCTAGGTTTTTTTTTGAGCCGCTAGGGAGGCGACATGGGGCATCTCGGGTTTTCTCTCAAAACATTCCCCAAACACGCCCTTCTTTTTTTTCGCGGGTGTACAGGCCCTTCACCTTCTATCAGCTCCCTCAAACCTCACCCCTCTCCTATGATTTAATAACTCAATTAAGAATGCTAAGGCTATGGTGTCGGCCACCATCCAAAATATAAATAAACAACAACATGCACATTAGTAATTTTAAGTAAGATAATATCCAATAGAATAATCTGTGTCAAATTAGCATAGATTAGCACAAATTGTGATTAGCACAAATTATCACTAATTAGCATAAAATTGTAACATACAAACTCCCGATCTCTTCTACATGTTAGTGTCGATTAGCTCCAAGTTATCACTGCTTAGCATATAATTGTCGGTTAGGAAGGATTAAATAGCTAGCGAG